CTGAAGATTCACATAGAATTATCTAATTATGTTAAGACGAGATAATAGTCTTTAATTTTTTTGTTCAACTCTCAAACACTCTGAAATTTTTCAGACAGTGAAACCCACTAAGACAACCATTTTCCGCATAATACGCCTTTTTACGACAGTTTGTGCTCTTTAAAATATATGTACCCTATAATAAGCTTTCACACTAAAAACGCGTTTTTAGCCCGTCTCCTGGGCAATCGTCTTAGGGGGGTTTTACAGTATATAGTTTTTCATTTTAACTAAATAAAGATAATGGAATTTTCACTTTTGTCTGTTTTGTCACTTAACAGGCAAGTCTTTAATGGGTTTAATATATAGCAATATTACCAGTAACTCTAAAAATATTATAAGTTACGTGTAAATACTAATATAAAAAAAATATTTGTTGAAAACTTTTGACTATTGTTGGTGTTTTGTTATTTTGGATTGTCTGTTCAAAACTCAACACAATAAATACATATCGAAAAATGAATGATGGCTTGGATGTAGGCTGAAACGTCTAGATTTAATAAACTTGTAGTTTTCAATTATACCATTTTTTATTCGTATTATATAATATGCCTATGCCTAAACTCCCATAGAAATTAGATCTATATATATCATTTAATTATTTAATAGCTAATGCGTCGGAATAAAATAATTTTTATGTATAAAATTGTACAGTTTCGAGAACTAAATGTGTCTCATCATTCGACTAAAAAAACTTTTTTTCGCTGGAGGAGATTGTTAATTGGCAAGAAACAAACTAAGGGGGCGTCCATTAATGTCGTGAGGTTTAGGGGGAGGGGGTTGACAAAAAACCACGAAATATCACCTGTATTTATTTTTAACTAATTTTTTTAAAAAAAAGTCCAAACATTTTCAAAAAAAATCGAAAAGTTTACAGTTTTTTCACGTAACTAAAAGAAAACGTGATGCTTGGTGGGGAGGGGAGGTCTAATTTTGAATATCACCATGTATCACCAAGGGGAGGAGAGGTCCAAAAATCCTTAAAAACTCGTTCAGGTGATTAATGAACGCCCCCTAATGTACTAACTCTTAAAAAATTGTTGACATATTATATATATATATATATATATATATATATATATATATATAACTCTTAATATATATATTATATATATAAATTTAGTGTCACAGATGTTGTCTACGGTGAACGCCTGAAATACTGAACCGATTTAAAATTTGTTTTGCTCACTGTGTACTTATGGATCCCATTTAGGACATAGGGTATATTAACAATCTCAATTAATAGCAGAAATTTTATATTATTTAATTAAAAAACATTTTGACATTTTACCATAGTTTGAGTTCTGTCGAGAGTCTACAAGTCTAGACAAAAGACCATAGAGCAACGAATGCTATGAACGATTGAAAAATAAAAATACTAATAGAAAACCTTCACAGCCAACTTGAATCGAATACATTTTATAAGTAAAATCATCACTTGCTTACTTATGACAAATTTTATAAATTTATTCTAAACTTTAATTTTTTGTTTTTTTATTTTTTAATTTTAAGAAAACTTTGATCAATAGTATTGGTTAATAAAAACCACTGTAAAGCAGCAAAATATTTTTGATGGCAAAACAACGTTTGCCGGGTCAGCTAGTATATATATATATATATATATATATATATATATATATATGAATATATATATGTATATATATTCAGGGTGTCCTTGAAGTGCAATCTAGAACTTAGGTGAAAATGTGGGGGAGGAGAGGGTTTAGTGAAAAATCACATGTATTTAGTTTTACCTGAATTTAGTAAAAACTTCCAAAATTGTTAAATTTTTTAAAAATTTTACTATTTTTCCGGGTACTAAAAATACACGTGATGAGTGTGGGGGAGGGGGAAGGGTATTTAAAAAAGCTCAGAAATTATGCACGTGATTAATGTACGGCCTCTTACCATTTTGAAAAATTGATAATAACCACAAAACCAATATGATATTTCATAACTAATACATGTATAAATATAAATTTATACAATTATTTAGAAAACTGCTATCATGAAAAGGCGTTTCGAAAGAGATTGTAAGAAAACGGTCTAGTTATAAATATAGTAACTTTATTACATACACATATATGTGCATGTTGTGTCTAGTTGAAATATAAAAGCCAGATATGAATTAGCATATAATCCTATACGACAATCGGTGGTGCTGGTGATCAGATTAAATATCATTATAATAAAATGGCATTTAATTGAAACGAGTCGCTTATAAACAATATTAAGACATGCGATCAGCCCATGTCGAAGCATTGTGTTTGTTAAGGTCATGGTTGTAAAGTAGTTCATGTACCCGATCATGTACATGGGTACATATATACATACATCATATATATATATATATATATATATATATATATATATATATATAGATATATTTTATATGATTCTGAATTTGATGTTGACATATGTATTAACAAAGTCTAATAATCGGGCATAACATCAATAAAAAACATGAATTTCTTTCAAAAATTTATTTTAAATCCATAAGTTTTGGCTATAATCCTAGCCTATGGTAATGCACTACACTATGTATTATAAACATTAACTTGAAATTACATAATATTTTCACAAAATACATCTTCAACCAGTCTACAAATAACACACTATCCATTTGTGATTTTTTCAAATCAGTATTTTTTGAAAATATTATGTAATTTCAAGTTAATGTTTATAATACATAGTGTAGTGCATTACCATATCCTAATACCATGGATGATTAAAATTTTCCAATTTAACACTACGATCAACTAATTTTTCCACTGAATGAAGGCTAGGATTATAGCCGAAACGTATGGATTTAAAATAAATTTTTGAAAGAAATTCATGTTTTTTATTGATGTTATGCCCGATTATTAGACTTTGTTAACTGGCACGGAAATGCAATTTCCAATTGATATGTTTCAAACAAACTTATAATATTAGATTATATAAATTCATATTAATTATAATAAAGAAAGACGATGTTGTATGTCCCAAATCGAGGTTCATTATTCCAAAATTGTATGAATTCTTATATTCAAATCACTTGAGAACATGAACTCCATCATCATATAAATTTCCATCAAAATCGTTAATTTTAACGTCCAGGCCAATCTTTACCGAAAGCTAATCAGCACGATTTCGAACTACAAAAATATAAAAATAAATTTATTTATATAAATTTTCTAAATTGGTATAGGATTCTTGGCAATTTTTACAATATAAATGACAAGCTGTCTTATAAATCTATTAAGTAATTGAGGTGATGAATGACAATGTTTTTTTCATAAGGCAACTCAGTAATACACCTTATATCGGTGAAATTAGAGCATATCACTTTTGGACATTTTGGCAAAAATTTGGACGAAAATTGTGCCCATCATCGCACAAAATGAACAAAATGAAAAATCAAGTAACTGATGGGATTTAAATTTTTGAAATTGGTACAGCTATTTTTGAGAAAACATCACTTTTGGACATTTTGGCGAAAATTTGAACGAAAATTGTGCCCATCGTCCCACAAAATTAATCAACTCAAGTCCTTATCGGGTAACTAATGGAATTAAAATTTTTGAAATTGCTGCAGCTATTTAATAAAATTGAATAAAAAAATTTAAAAAAATGGGCTCACATACAAACTTACGTCAGACGATTCAGCGTCACAAAAAAATAAAAGTAGCAAATTGATTTTTTAGCGAAAACATGACCTTAAGGTAACAAATAATGATGAAATCAATTCCAATGAATTTTAATTAATTGAAATAATTATTAGAAATAAATTTCAAAAAATCAAGATTTTTGTTATCAAGTCTATCAAGATTTAAGTATTCGTTAGCACGGAATAGAATTACGAAATTTTAACTTAATGAGGATTAAAAAGCTGTTTACTAATAATTTAAGTAAACGCAAACAATTGAATTTAACCTCTCACCGACCTCGCGTGTCGTCGTTTCCCATTTTGAATCATTTTGAAGATGGTGCATTTTCTACATTAACATGGCGTGATCATTTTTTTCTGGCTTGTTAACACACCTCATATTTTGTTTAATTTCTTTTTGTTTGAAACTCTATTAACCTTCCATAGTAAGAAAATAAATTTGGTCAAAAATGCTGCTTGTGATTAGAAGAGCAGCAAACGGAATCAATTGTTTTAGATGAAAGAACAAAATATAATAAAAAATACCACATAAAAGTAGAAAATTACCTTTTCTGTTGAGGACTGACAAGTATTAGAATAATACTAAAATACTGTTCACCAACGCCATTTGAATTGGAACAATGAATTTGCTGCAGAGCAACTGTAAAATTTAAATATAACCTATTTTTAAATATTCTTTAAAATAAATTTTATTAATTCATGATATAATATATGTCATAGTCTTATGTATAATATAGTCAATGTTCATAAGAATTATTTTATTATTAGCCTATTTTTTTAATCGTGCTGAATTAAACTATAACAATGTTTTTTGGATTCTTTTAGACAATATGATGAGGAACAGATAATTCTCATGTATTTTGATTCCATTTCTAGCTATTCAATATCATTATATTTATTCCGACGTTTTTGATATGATGTTAAAGATTTGATTTTTAAAAAAGAGCAGTTAATTTTGTTTATTGCAAATCTAGCAATAAATATAAATGTTGGGAATTCATCAGTATATAACCAATTTCTACTATTCATTATAACTACTCTCATTGTGATTTCTAGACATCTTTTTGAGTGAAAGTGAAAGATGTACAAGTTTTAAAAAATATTTTTATTTTGCTCACAAATCTGGCAATAAATGTAAAAGTTGGCAATTTAATGGTATAATACAAAGCATCAGAGAAAACACATTGAAAATTAAATATTACTATAATTGTTATTGAGTTGTATAACAAGATATAAAATGCAAGAAATCATGCACTTGTGCAAATATTAATATTATACATATTATTTATTATATTATGAAAATATTTTGTCTTTAAAACAGAACATTGTTAGTTGATAAAGCACGAAATCTCTTTCCGACTATAAACAGCACTAGCATGCACAATATAAGCAAAAGTGCATGCAGATGAAGTTTATGATCCACATCTATGCCTTCAATTTTAACTATATTTTCTATTAAAATCTCTACAATGGCGGTGAAGAAATTGTGAAATGCTGCAACAATTACCTTACAGGGCATCGGCGCTTCAGTATAAATAAATTGATCATAAGTAATACTAAAGTAAATTTCTCCTAGTATCAACACAACAGCCTGAGGTAGCATCCAAAAGACATGCACAGAATTCGGTTCCGTTACTACAAAAACTCTTGCTGTGCTGTTGACTAATGTAACCAAATAAACCCCGCCTGGGTCCAAATCGAGTTTCGTGACTTTCGCTCCGTTCAAGTATAAATCATACACAGATACGTCTACTTTATATATTCTGGTAGGATTATTGATCACTGAATGTCCGGCAACAATGCTTGGTTTTACAGTCATCGAAAACTCCGAGCCGTATGGATCTCTGATTACCACGTTGTCCCGAATGCAACCGCCTGTCCATCTTCATTCCTTATCATCACCGATATAGCAATACCGCCATATGTATCTATCGTTTCATTTATTGGAGGGAAGCAAGATCCTCTTATTGAAAGGTGTAAAGACTGAGACTGATGAAAAGAGTCATAGGGTACGTGTTTATTGCTGTACATTCCAAAAGGATTCACTATGAGGTAGTCTGGTGAAAGACTATCCGATTGAATAACAGCTGTACAATTAAAACCATTGAATATCCTGATTTGCAACTCCTTCTCCGTTGGCAAAGGTGGCAATTGTGACTTGATGCAGGTTTCCAATATTCCTGATATCAGGAAAGCAATTGATATCAACAGTCCACCAAAAATCATTCTTCTGAACGTTCTATCAAGTTTCCATGGTATAATTATATGATCTATGACGTGATCGCATATTGGCATAATTATAATCGCCAACAATGGTTTCATCAACTCGTAATGTTCTAATAGAAAACTAAAAGATCCTAATTGACCGTCCATTTTGCTGGCCTGGGTCATCCATTCATCTATATATCGGCTGTACAGGCCGGAGAAAACTGGAACGCAACAAAAAATAATAATCATATTATAAACCGTTTTAATATCGGTAACTGATTCTGTTCCATATTCGGGTTCTGCATGGTCAAGCCAATGTGGTCGAGGATTATAGTTTTACGATCTTGAATTGAAAGTTTCATTCCGTTCTATATGCAGGCGATGATATATTTTGAGGTGTGCACCGATTTCAAAATGATAAAATAGCGAGTTCCTACTAGAAAAATAATAACGTTGGCAATTTTCAAGAGCATGCTTATACTGAAAGTCAATACGAAGCAGTCCTCATCTCCTAAACATGAAACTGATTTCGTGATTAATGGTCCGTGAAAATTTCCGAGGAGTCCGGTGACATTATGTAGTATGTATAATGACCTATAGTACTTCATCAGCGCGGGTTTTCTGGCAACTGAAACTGGTTGCCCTCAAATGCGAATTGTACGCTGTTCACAACAAAAGCAAGAAAAATACTGTATGCCAAATGCGTATAATACAATTCCTTGGTTAAATATTGAAGTGACGGGACCGTCATCAAAGCCATGAGTGCTTGTTGAATGATTATTCCAATAAAATTGAAAAGTAATAGGTAGTATTTGTTTCCAAAAGATTCACTGATACATGCCCCGAGCGGCAGAAGAAAAATGATTAACAGTTTACGACATTGAAGAATTACCGACATTTCTTTTGCATCAAAAGCAATTTTATTGACCATAAACGAGTGCATCACTTTAATTAAGCATTTTATTTTTTTTATTTAATTTTATTGTTGTGGCAAAATTATTTTATTTTAGATTTTGAAATAATTAATTTAGTGCTATGGTTAAGGTAATCTAATCTTCTTATAACAAATAGCAAGCATATTCATTAAAATATATTATGATATTTTATAACTTACGCACCTGCTCAAACGATTTTTGAAAAAATTTCAGATGGCTGATTCTGCTGTTAGTGTACAGGTGGCTTTAAGGATAAGGCCTTTAGTCAAATCCGAAATTTCTAAAGGATATGTTAAATGCCTCGAAACAGTGCCAAATAAACCTCAAGTTTTAATAAAAAATCTTTCTTTTACTTACAACCATGTATTTCCACCAGAAGTTTCGCAAGCTGAATTTTATGACACTGTGGGAACCATCTAAATACAAGGTTGGACAACTGATGGCGCCACAAGTTTATGCCTCAACTGCAATTGTCACCGCTTGTGGGACCCGCCTACGTTGCACCAGATGTCACCACGATAAATCCTATAGACATCCCCACTCCTTGGCGCTCAGAGTATTTAACGCATAGCGCAACACTGAGAAATTCTCTTTCACCTCAACCATCAAGGAGTCAACAAGTACTGACTTGGGACCACGGACAAGTAGCCAGCCGGAAGAAGCAATATTAAGTTCTAAATTCAATGTAAATATTAGATATATAATAAATAATATTATATTTAATATTTGAATTATTTGAGTGGAATATATGTGGACGATACCCACATAATTGGTGACCCCGACGTGATATTCTGATCTGAAGATGGAAAAATCAGGTAAGAATTCTGATAAAACGCCTTCCAAGACACCGAAGGGTTCGGCAATCGAAATTGCTTCAATAACAAATGAAAACACAAAATTTTTTCATGTAGTCGCCCACCTGGAAGAGAAGCACGCACGCGAAGTGGAGGACGTGATTCGTGAGCCACCAGCAGAGAATCCCTATTCTTATTTAAAAGAAGTCCTCGTAAGCAGGCTATGTGCATCAGAAGAGACTAGGATCAAGCAGCTACTTTCTGAGCAAGAATTAGGGGATCGCAGTCCATCACAATTTTTGAGACATCTGCGCTCCTTGGCCGGTCACACAAAAATAGGTGAAACAATATTCAAATCTTTATGGATACAACGGCTGCCTGCATGCATTTTACAAATCCAAAGTGACCTACCTTTAGATAAATTGGCAATCACAGCGGACAAAATTCTAGAAGCTCAACCGTTGGTCCCGCATGTAGACTCAACAAAGCAGACGCACCACAATCAATCTACCGACATACACTACAAAAACACCCTGGAGGAATTAACAAAACAGGTACAAAATTTGCAAGAACAAATTCGACGTTTAGGTAGATCAAGATCGAAAAGCAGCGAACGACAAGAAACCACGAAATGCTGGTATCATCAGAAATTTGGAAAAAAGGCGAAAAAATGTCAAAAACCATGTACGTGGGAAACATATAGCAGAATACGCAGCACAAAAAACGAGGAAACCGATCAGTAGTGGCGACAACTGATCATCAATCCGCTAAAGGTCGCCTTTTTGTTTTGATAATAACAATAACATTAAATTTCTTGTAGATACCGGTTCAGACGTTTCATGCTACCCCAGGAAAGCCTTCAGTAAATGCAACAAATCAAAGTATGAACTACAAGCTGCCAATGGTACCCCAATTCGAACGTACGGACCAAAGAATTTGCGTCTTAATCTCGGGCTGCGGAGACTATTTGACTGGAAATTCATTATCGCAGACGTGGACACACCAATAATAGGTTCGGATTTCTTAGCATTTTTTGGGCTTCTACCAGACTGCCGAAATAAACGCCTAGTCGATGGAAGAACCGGGTTACACACCGCGTGTGTAACTCATACATCACACCAAAAAAGCGTTAAAACACTCATACACAAGGATCCGACAATTCAGAAACTACTATCAGAATTTCCAAATCTAATCAAACCATCTGGCACACAGCGTCAACCACTCCACAGCACAAGACATTCCATTATTACAACGCCAGGCCCACCTGTAACATGCCGTCCACGTCGTCTAGCGCCAGACCGATACCAGATCGCCAAGGATGAATTCGAATCAATGCTGCAAGAAGGCACAGCACGTCGATCAAAAAGTCCTTGGTCTTCCCCATTACACCTGGTCAAAAAGAAAGATAGAGAGTGGCGACCGTGCGGCGACTATCAGTGCCAGATAGATATCCAGTCCGTCACATTCACGACTTCTCAACAAATCTCCAGGGATGTAATACATTTTCTGTTATAGATTTAGTGAAGGCATACACGCAAATACCGGTGGAAGAAAAAGACGTACCAAAGACAGCAATATCAACGCCTTTTGGCCTGTTTGAGTTTCCATTTATGTCTTTCGGTCTCAGAAACGCTGGACAGACCTTTCAGCGCTTCATAGACGAAGTGTTGATAGGATTAAATTTTTGTTTTGCTTACATAGATGATATTTTAGTTTTTTCCAGAAATGAACAAGAGCATCGAGTGCATTTACGAGCAATATTTGAACGCCTTCACCACCATGGGATTGTAATAAATCAGACAAAAAGTACCTTTTGTGTCCCGCAAATTCAGTTTCAGCAACAGGAACCAAGCCACCATCTGAACGTATCGAAAATCTGAAGAATTTTCCTCGTCCAGAAACAGCAAAGTCCCTCAGACGATTTTTAGGCAATAAATCTATCTCCTGGACTCCAGAACTGGAAAAAGCATTTCAATCCTGCAAAGACAAACTTGCGGAAGCAACGCTACTCCAACATCCAATTCATGGTGCTAAATTAGGATTATTTACAGATGCTTCCCAGCACGCAGTAGGCGCCTGTTTGCAACAATTGGTTGAAAACAAATGGCAACCCCTAGCATACTTCTCTAAAAAGTTGACTCCACGTCAATCGACATGGCCAGCTTATTACAGAGAATTGCTAGCGGTATATCTTGCTGTGCAGCACTTCAGGCACATCCTTGAAGCACATCAATGCACAATATACACTGATCACAAACCATTGACTTTTGCATTCAACCAACGCCATGAAAAACTACCGCCAGTTCAATTAAACCATTTAAACTTTATTTCACAGTTTACAACAGACATAAAATACATCAGAGGCCAGGAAAATATTATAGCTGATACACTGTCACGCGTCGAAGCCATTACAAAAGACAACTTACTTAATTTTGAAATCCTAGCACAGCACCAGAAGGACGATGAGGAACTTAAACGCCTTTTAATGCAAGACACAAAACTACAACTAGAAGAAATTCCTGTACCAGGCACAAACATTAAGTTGTTTTGCGACACGGCGAAGGCTCAGCCACGACTTATATCCCGGCACCATTGCGGAGACAAATATTTAACTCATTACATGGTTTGAGTCACCCTGGGATACGAGCAACTTCGCGTCTCATTACTGCACGGTACGTATGGCCATCTATACAGAAAAACTGCCACGATTGGGCTAGAGCTTGTCAGGATTGTCAAAAGTCCAAAATAACACGGCACGTACATGCACCTCATGGAACATTTCCCTTGCCAACAGCAAGATTTGCACATGTACACACGATCGATAATTGGTCCTTTACCTCCTGTTAACTCTTATAAATATTGTTTGACAGTCATCGATCGAT